GGCCCCTCCCCCTGCCTCTTCAGCTGGTCCCAGTTCAGAGAAAGAAGGGGAAAAACATGATCAAAACAGGAATTTAGTTTAAGCGTGCATCTGGAGAACTTGTTTACCCCCCTGCTGATTCTGCCCGTCAGCGCTGTACTACGAGCAGGGCAGTGTCAGAAAGACAATCAACCCACACTGACAACGGATCTCAACAGATCTATTCAGCCCGTGCTGCACCAGACTGGAGAGGAGTTTCACCAGCTCACGCATCCGGAGTGGCAGGTTAGTACAAGCTCCTTCTGGCAGAGGTGCAGAAAACAGGCTGTTAAAGAACAAGGAAGCTTGTGGATTTATATCCCCTCTTATACCGGCAGCACTCACGTGAATGCCTAACTCTTACCTGAGCCCCACCTTCTTGGTGTCTACTAGCTTACCGTAACGAACTCTGCCAACGCTATCTGATACCAGTAAATCTGAGCCTGATATAAATCTGACACTTCAGGAATACATTAGACAAGCACAATTTTCTTCACAGCAGTGATGGTTTGTCTCTATCAGAATTTTTTCAGTTCATTATATGACTACTTTCAAACCACCTTAATCAATTATATTTGCATGTCACAGTTCTACAGTCAAACCAGGACTTTCCCTGTTTTCCCCATTTTTTCCCCAAAGAGTTCAGGACACACTGCTTCTTCCTGGCTCCCTGGTACAGTCAGATCTTGAACCAGATCCTTGCTAGTGGGCGAGCCACTCTGCGTTTCAGCCCAGGGCTCCACCAGCAGCCTGGGGACTGGATGCAGGACAGACAACCTGGCTGCCCGAGGAAGCAGGCTGTGGGCTTGTTTCAGTGCTCGAGCATTGGCAGAAGCCCATTTCCAGCCACTACCTTTCTCAGGTCCTGCCTGATGCTTCCAGGAAAAGCCAGTGGCTACTGCAGGGGACACATACTCATTTTTCACATACAGACCTGACTCTCCCAGGAGCTCCTGCCTTCTTGTACACACACAGCACTGCTGCAGATCGCTCTTCTTACTCTGCCTCTGAAAGACCCCCAGCCCTCCCTGGAAAACCAGGTCCAGGTGCAGTGATTCCCCACAGAGCACTCAGGCTGAGGTAGCCACTTCGCTTCCTCTGCATTATCCTTAAAATGCGCCGGCAGCCACAGAACTGCTGCAGTGGCCTGGTTTTCACCTGCTGCTTCAAAGACAACTGCATGGGCTGGGCCGAGCGAGAGCACCAGTGAGACAAGCAGCAAGGTCCTGCAGTGACCGCCTCGCCTCGCCAGCGAAGAGGGGCTGCTGGCAGAGGGGAAGAGATGACCGGGATCTGCAGGTAAGCGCTTAGCCTGGAGAGGGGAGGCAAAGCCACCAGAGACACCAGATAGAAAGACTGTCAGATGCGGAGCCGAGAAAGACAGAAGAAAAGGCTGCGAGTTTCCCCCAGGATGGGGAAGGCAAGAGGACAATTATAAGCTAGGAATTATTTCTGCAGGCTGTGGAGAAGAAAGAAGAATGCATCAGGAGCAAAGCATGCCGGCGAGAGGTTTTGCAGTGTTATTTTTAAGCACTAAGCAGTCCAGCACTCTGCTCTGTCTTCATCAAGAGATGAAACTGCACCTTGGTCTCCCTCACCTGTGGTTCCTTCTGGGATCTCCCCGTGCTGTTCAACACCACCCTGATCCTCGTGGTCTCCTTCCTCCACTAAAGGTGCTGTGGCATCTGAAAAACAATGCAGCTTTCACATAGCCGTTGAGTGGCAAACCCCTGTGGAGGCCAAGACATGCCTGAAGATTTTTTTTCTCAGAAAAGCACCCAACTCCCTCCCTTGAGCCAGTGCTCGTGGAGGGAGACAACCGAGCACGGCATAGCAAAGCCAGTACCGCAGGGACACCACGAGCTGTCCACTCTGCCGCACAAACCACACATCTCCAGCATACTCCTTATGCAGCTGAAGGCTTTACCATGAACACTGTCTGAAAACGCACAGCTAAAGACAGCCACTGGCGCCCAATCTGCATGCATGGCAATGCTGTCTGCACAGGGACATCACTGGTCTGGAGAAGGCAAGAACAGCTCCCATCAGATACCTTCATAAACCATCCAAGCACTGTGACTGCATCACACTCTGGGTGGCTCTGAGGCAGACAGATACCTGCCTCCACCTACCAGAGGGATGTCTGCTTGTCATGACAGTCCTGATCCAACTGGGTAGAGGGACAATATCCCCTTTTGCACCAGCCAGGTTTTACATACTGATTTCTTGAGCCACATGCACAGGAACAGAGACGCTTCACAGACAATCAGTCAGCCCACGTCTCCAGTGGGACAGGGCTGGAACTGGTCAGCATCTTTGTCCACTCTTCTTCTAGATAAATTTTGCAACTACTGCCTTTACCTGAAGTCTCCAAGAGGCAGATACTTGGGATTAAAGCAGTCAGAGGAACCTAAAACATGCAGTTAATTAAAACAGCGAACAAGTCTCTAGACCACTTCGGAATTAGATTCGTTCTACAAATACGGCGTTCAGGTAACACGCTGGAGCAGCACAGACATGCCCCAAGTCCTACCAATATGGCCTTTACATCAGCACAAAGTTCTGTTTCATGTATAGACTCTGCCCCTCTCATTGTTCCAGCATGAATCATGCTGTCCTAATGAACATGTAAATACAGAGGGGGCAAAAAAAGAGCTGCAAGGTACAACTAACTCTGAAAGGGAACACAGCGACCAAGTCGTGCTGCCAGTACCTTGGGGGAGCACAGTGATGCCAAACCTCTGGCCCTGGGAACACACAACAAGGGATTGCTCCTGCCTGTGCTCAGCCTAACAGGACCTTGCAGTCACTGTGTAAAAAGTCTTCAGGAAACAAACTGCAAGCAACTTCCTGAACTATAATAAGCACCGTCACTTGCCTTCCAACCCACTCTCCCCCTTTAAAGCTCGTTATCTCATTCTGCAGAGTTGCAAACATCACTTGTGATGAGACACATGGAGAGCATTTGTCCAAGAGTGCAGACACTGCTCCTGAGAAACCCCACCAGAACACAGCACTGTGAGTCTTTCGGCAAGGTTTATCACGACCCCATCCATCATGGTTTCAAAGCAGTAAGTCAAAGAGCTCCCACCTTCCGTAGTTGGGGTGCTCTTAGCGTCAGATGTTTCAGAAACAGGCTCATCCGATCCATCATCGACTGGTATCTGAAGGGGATAGCCTGGAAAACATTCAAATACTTAGAACAAGTCCTTGGCTATGAATTATGGCCTGTGTGTTATGAACCCTGACTGCCCAGATCCACAGCAGCAAGAAACTGTAATTGGAGAGTATAAAACACCTGAACTAATAAGCAAGCATAGCATGAAAACACCAACCAAAAGCACCAGTGTCATCACCAAAAGGAACAAGCAGAAACCCATCAGCAAAAGAAAAGCCCAGTGAACCGGACAGCCAGAAACAGCAAAGCATGGCACAAGCAGGAAAGGAGATCTTAGCAACGTAAACAGAAAAGGTGTACAAGTTCCAAGTCACTGCTGTCCTCTCTGCCGTTTCTGGAGCCATTAGCTCCCTCCCAGAGCAGGCTGCTGAACGCTTCCATGATGTGTTAATTCTAATAATTGCAAACCAGCAAGTCTTTGTAAAGGGCTTGGTGTAGCACAGAACGCACTGTGCAAAGACTTGGTTGCAAAAGTCGTCTTTTGGAAGAGCAGGGCAAGAGGCACAAGTCTCCTTTCTACAAGGAGTCTGGGAAAATAAAATAATGAGAACTGGAGAAAATTACTTGGAAAAGAAGATTCAAACTAGCAGAAGCATAATCCCTGGGAACCTCTGATGTGCAAAGCTGAGGCTACAAGCTGAGAGGAGCTACCAGACTGAAATGCATTAAAGAACCTGGGATGAATGGATGCTATGGATTCTCTCCAGGACAGAGGCAATCCATTTATCTGGTGTAAGGTGTGTCCAAAGCACCTCAAGAAAAGAAAATTAAGATGGTGTTTACGATGGAGCATAGCCAGGAGTGAATCCCACCAGGTTTGTTGGCATTATGTGGTTTTCCAAGCTCAATTGTAGAGCATGGTGGAATGAGAAAGGAAAGGCTTCTTGAGAAATGCAGGTCTGACATATGGGGCAAAAGACTCTTGCATGGCCCCCGCTCCCAGAGCTCTCTCTTCAGCTCCCCCTATTTCCCCGTGCAGGTGAGAAAAGCAGGCAGCAAGCAGCATCCTTGAGCTGTGTCTCCAAATAAAAGCAGTGCTGTACTTTTATAGCGAACTAAGGAGTGAACACAGAAACACACACTTGCAAAGCTGCAGCAATAAGGTCATCACTAGCCTGGATACTGCTCTTGCTGGGCAATGATATCAATGAGCATCATTCTCCTACGGCTACGAACATTAGAGCATCTTGTGGGCTACCCACTGTCCACGGGCTGCAGCCAGCTGATCCACAGTAACCTTCCTGACACACATACCACCTCCTCCTGGCCGTCCCCACGGGACCCCTCACACCCCAGCCCTGCTCTCCCCACTTAGGTCATTCTCTCAGCAGTGGACAAGGCAGGTCCTTTACACCATCTCCTCCTGGAGGTGCTCACCTGATGGGATGTGCTTCTCCTGGCCAGCTGCATGATCCTCCATCATGGTGATGTCCTGACGCTGCTCCGCCATCTCTCAGCAAGGTTACCTGAAGAGGAGAGTAAAAACAAACACCCATCAGGCAAAACCTGACACAACACACCTTCATCTGGAGCCCAGCTGGTGCACTCCCATCTGCTGCTTCACGAGACAATTTTGGTTTGTCAGGCAATGTCCAGGAGCATTAAACATCCTACTGCAAGCAATCAGCCAACAACAGCCAACCTTCTTTCAGCCACTGTAAGGAGATACCTGCTTTGTTCCCTTCTCCTGATGAGCCCTGAAATCACCCCACTGTTCAGGGACGGGCACAGCTCAAGATCCGTTACCTACTGGGTTTCACACCAGTGCTGAAACACTCCCCAGAGCACCTCCAAATCCACCAGGAGCATGTTTTGTCTGCAGTCATCAAATGGAGGAGGGCAGTGGGAAGGGAGTGCTAGCATGCCAAATGGGGATCAAAAGGGGCTGCCCCAGCCAGACAGCACGCTTTGGCAAAGGTGCACCAAGCTCTCAGCACAGGAGGCCACAGCAATCCACACTCAGAGGGCAGAAAAAAATTCACCTATGGGCCTGAGCTAAAAGGAAAACACGGATTTTGCAATAAAAGACATATAAAGGAGCAAATGTTCCTTGTGAACAATGAGAAAGTCTAATTATTCCTGCACAAGCAAAAGCATGTGCCGGTCACTGCATTCATCACAATAAGGATAGGGGCAACTTCTGCCCAGCCGCAACATCAAAATTCCACAGGTTCTTAAGATGTCCCAAGCAAAATGACCATCCTGGTGCACACAGGACACTGCTCAGCCACTCTTTGGTCACAAGCGGTCACCAGGAGCAGCATGTCTAGTGCAGACATACTTCTGCTGCACACTCCAAACTCTGCATTTGCCAATGGAATGAGTCTCTCAACAGATGTGTCTGCTGGCAAGGCGTGACGCTGCCGCAGAAAGGGAGGCCTTCTGCCCCTGTGGATACACCCAGCAGGGATACACAGCTATAACAATACACTGATGATCTTAAAAGCAATCCAAAAGTGACACACAGGGGTAAACCAGGACTCTCCAGAGATGGATTTGGACAGCGCGACGGCTTGCTTAACCCTGAATCCTCCTTGCAGTGCTCAGAAAGCCAACACCATGGTACAGAGTGAGGCACAGTAAATAGGTCTGGACACCAGAATGGAAGTAGAAAGGCGTTAAAATTCAGAGTTATTTTTCTAGCATGCCTTTATCTGCAAAAGGAAACGAAGTCACCAACAAACACTACCCGCTTCTGTGAAGCAGGGACCATATTTCTCCTTATTCTCCATGCTGGTTGGACAGACATTGCTTTTAGATTACCTCCTAATAGCTGATATAGTTACAGCCATTGACAGTAATTAATAACCGGCTATTAGTGTAATCGAATGTTTTCCACAACCGTCAGGAGTGGATGAATCACAGAGTCATAGAACCACAGAACCGTTTAGGTTGGAAAGGACCTTTAAGATCATCAAGTTCAACCATTAACCTAACACTGCCGTCCCACCACTAAACCCTGTCCCTACGCAATGAAAGAAAGAATCCAGCAATGAAGCTCAGGTTACCAGCAGCAAGGAAACAAACTCATGTGGTTTTGTTTGCTGGCAGTAAATTAACTGGATATATGGGACTGCACAAGAGAAACCCCAATGCTAGTAACCAGATCTCTCACCCCGCTTTTTTTAAGCCATAGCAAGATGACTATGCTACAAAGCCATTTGACAGAACCGTACCAAGTAAGTTCAAGAAATTGCCCTGAAAGGAAATCACCCATCAAAATGGAAGTATAAAATAGGAAAGAATTAAGTACCTAATTTTTGTTCCCAAAATGGTGGCCCCTAATTATTTGGACATATGGCTGTCCTCCTCCCAGGGCCCAAAGGATCCTATTGATTATATCCTGGTCTCATCTGGCTGCCACTTGGTATTATTTACAGGTCTACTTAGCACTGAAATACTAAAATATAATTTTAACCTAGGGTACAGGCCACGAAAGGAACTTGGGCATGAATGAGTGTAAAACGACACACGAATGTGCTGCTTGTGTGTGTGTGTGCGTGCGTGTGCACGAGCAGAAGAGTGACCTCTCTGCCCCAAACGCACGCACAGCACTGGGTACAGTTTTCCCCACACACTGCCCTGTCTGTTGGTAGGAAAATGCGGACGGGAGCAGCAGTTCCTGCTCTGCCCACAACTGGTGGTCCCTAACTGTCCTTCCAGCCTAGCTCAGTTCACTGCACATCTACAGACACCAACCTCTTTGCTTCCCAGCTGCAGATGCAGGGGCAAACTACTCACGGATCTGCTGTGCTGGATTTAAATGAGGCTTGCTGTTTCCTTGTTCTGCCTCCTTTTCTCTCTTCCTCCCACCTCTTTTTTGGAGAAGAGCAATTAGTGTCTCCCCCAGTCTCCCTGGAAAGACACATTTAGTCCTTTCTTGCCTCTGGACAAGCATTTCCTGGGACACCACCCAGAGAGGACCCCTAGCCTGACAGCTAGTGAGTTTGCACACCCTGCCAGAGGCTCATCTGCTGGCTCCATGGACAGCATCCGACACAGGCAGAGATCTTCCACTCTCCCTCTGAACAGAGCATTTAGCATCTGCGCAGCCTTGGCACAGCAGCAGTGACCATGATTCAGCAAAGGCCAGTGGATCCTGCTGGCAGGCACGGGGGGCCGCCTGGTCGCAGGGCTGACTGTCACCCCCCTTCCCGCTGCCCTGACAGCGCCAGGGCTTTTCAGCACAAAGAAATGGCCGGGGGTTTTTCGGAGAAGCTGAGGATGATCTTGCTATCTGTCTGAGCTTTGGAAGGAGGCCTTTAACACTGTGCTGCTCAGGACCAGGCAGAGACAGCCCCTGATCCCACTGAGCTCCACGCATGGCAGGATTCAGCCATCTCAGAGCTAAAGGACTGGAGATAGGCTCCAGAGGATGTAGCCATTAATTTTTCGGAGATGAGAGAAAGAGCTGTCTTTTCTTTACAAGGAAAAAAGCATGACCAAAAGCCACAAAGATCCATCAAGAAACCACTCAGTGGGACCCTGAGAGTACCTGAAACCTGGCTGCAGTTTACGAAATGCCCTGGGCGCCCATTCATTTGGACAGAGTGATTTGGGGGTTGATGCATGGGTTGCTATGGAAAGCAGAAGCATCTCCCATCCGATGAAGCACAACGTCCTCCCACCATGTCTGCGGCGCAGCAGGCAGAGGAGCAGAGTCACTCCGCGCCCGAGCTGCTGTGTGCAGCGGTCAGTGGTGGAGAAGAACACAACTCCTCAAACTGGCAGAAGGCAAAGGGCAGGGAGGGGGATCAAGCTCCCACATGGTTCCCACAGGATCTTGCTCTTAGCTGAAGAAATGCCCACTCAACAGATGCCTTCCTCACAAGTGCTGCCCCTCTGGAGCAGCTTGGGAAGCATTTCCTGCCGCTTGCCCTCCAAGGCCTGGCAGGGCTGAGATTTAAGCCCATTACAACGGGGCTGACGAAATTTCATCAGCACCAGATAAGCATATAAATAACATGAAGCGCACAAAGCAACCCAATGGGTAAGTAGGAGTGAGCTGCCACCACCATTACCTCTAAGCTGCAAAGCTCTCCCAGCAGAATCCAAAATACACAGGTCATATAATCATACAGTCCTGTCCACCAGCAACATCACCTGTAAAGACCTTCCACGCCTCTCCGACGGATGCTGAACTTCACTCTCTGCCTCCTTTTTCATCCATTGCAGATGTCACCTTATGGCACTGCCCAGGCAGAACCGTACCGATGATGACAGTGATGATGGTTTTGGGACAGATCTGTCCGGTCAAAACCAAGAAACAACACTGAATTGCCCATACGCAAAACCCTTCTTATTCTAGCTGGGAAGGTCTCAGCCTTGCTTCGGGTTTTCACTCTGGTAATAAAGTTGTATGAGTAAAAATTTAAACCTTATTAAAACTGCATATTTTAGATTGGACTTTTTAAACAAAGATGGTCTGAAAATTGAACGTTTGAAAAACTACTTCTAATGTTGAAAAAAGTCTATAATGATAATCCTATTTGTTTTTCAAGTGGGGGAAGGGGAAAACCCTCTTGGGGAAAAACATAACATTAAGGGGAAAAAATAGTCTAAAAAACTGTAAAACCAGCCCCACCCTGAAGCAATGGGGTTCAGTAATGAATAATTACAGCTGGGATAGCTGCACAGAGATAAATTTCAGCAGCACCTTCTGCGTGACAGATAAAGCACAAACCCTCCTAAGAATCTTATCCATTTCCAGCAGAACTATTCTAGTTAACCAGGGACACTATCTAAAGAGCAACAGCCTGTCCCATAATTAACAGCTTCTCCAAACCTCACGTTTTTCAAACCCGCAGCCCACCGTTGGAGAGAAGAGGCGTGTTGAGCAATCATTCTGAGCTGTGCAACAAGGCACAGGAGTGGGCAAGCAGGGGGTAACAAGTTTTTGTTGCCAGGAGCGGGAGAAAGAGGCGGTGCAGACTCAGCCCACCAGCACCTCTGGTGTTTGCTCTGTACAAGCAACCTCATGAGGGCCCCGAGCATAAATCCGGTTTGTCAGAGAGGCCACTTTAACTGGTGAGAGCTCAGCCATCTCCTGCCACCAAATGCAATTGCTTTGCCACTGGCATCAGACACAGGCTGGCACACAGCATATCTCACTCCCAGGCTTGGAGATGCTTTCCCGACGATCAAGGATTACAGAGCAGTGGCCTCCAGCTGCCTTGAGAGTGGAATATTGCCGTCCCCACCCTCAGACCAGTGCGACCTGGCGAGGAGCAGACGCCCCAGTTTGCTGCAACTGGGGAGGGCTGCAGGTGCGTGTGGACCCGCCAGCGGAGCAGAGGAAGTGCAGGGTGGCTTGTGACACTCAGGCCACCGGGTGACTCCAGATGCACCCTCCCAGACTCAGCCAGCTACGCTCAGCACTGCGGTAACCAGAGGCAACTCTCACAGCATTTGAACAGGATTTCACGGCTGAACTGGGCCCCAGAACAGTCCCCGCAGGCCTGTGTTA